ACACTCTCATCAAACCAGGCGGCACACAAAGCCGCTCTACAGCACTTCCCGCAGCACGGCACCACCACGGCCTCTCACCGCGAAACAGATCGCCCGCCTCGAGCTGCGCAACATCCGCGCCGTACACGCCTTTGCGCGGGACCACGCCATAGACTGCGATTTGCGCCCGTGTGACACGCTGGATGTGGTGTATGATGCGGGGGAGTGGGCGGCGGCGCGGGAGGGGGTGCGGGGGTTGAGGGAGGCGTTTTCGGGGAGGACGATGACTGCTGCTGGGGAGGGGGATGTTGGTGGGGGGGAAGAGGAGGACGGGGACAGAGGGGGGGGAGGTGATGGGGAGGACGGCGGGGAAGGGCGGTATACGCTATACTCGCGCGAGGAGGTCCTGGCCCGGTTTCCCGTGCATGATGGTGTGTTTGGGGGGCGGGAGGAGCGGGTGCAGGGCGGCGTGGGATACTTTGCCGGGTCGCTGTCGGCGTACAAGTTTGGGATCGGGGTTCTGAGAGCGTGCGTTGATCGGGGGTTGAATCTGCAGACGGGCACGCCGGTGACGATGCTAGTTGCTGCTTCTTCGTCGGCTACGGATGAGAAAGGGAGGTGGGACGTGAACACGCAGCGGGGAGTGGTCAGGGCCGGGCGGGTGGTGCTCGCCACGAACGGGTACACGGCCGGCGTGTGGCCGCGGTTCCAGGGGGCAGTTGTCCCGCTGCGTGGACAGGTCACGGCGCATAGGCCCGGGCAGGCAATGCCGGCGGGCGGGTGTCTGGACAGGACGTACAGTTTCATCTATGAGAGGGGCTATGAGTACATGGTTTCGCAACCGGAGGGATCGAGGTTTCCGGGGGATATCATCATGGGAGGTGGGCTGGCCCGGGCACAGGAGGAAGGGCTGATGGAGTTTGGGAGGACGGATGATGGCGCGGTGAACGAGGAAATCAGCGGCTACCTGAGAGACACGACGGGGCGGTATTTTGGACCCGACTGGGGCGAGGATCACCCAGAGGGACGGACAAGGAGCGAGTGGACTGGCATCATGGGATTTAGCCCGGATGGATTCCCGTTTGTTGGGGAAGTGCCTGGTGAGAGCGGGCTGTGGGCCAGTTGCGGCTTTCAGGGGCACGGCATGGTCTTGTGCTGGGAGTGCGCCAGAGCCTTGGTGGAGATGATGGAGGGCCGGGATGGCGAGGAGCTAAGGGAGTGGTTCCCTGACATCTTTCGAATTACCGAACAGAGAATGGCCCAGAGGTTTCGGGGACGCTTGGACGCCATTCCGAAGACTGAGAAGAAGCAACTAAGGTAACTAAGATAACTAACGAAGAGCTTCGGGGAACAGATCGTCGTAAAAAAACGATCATCACATTTAGTTCTTTTAGTTGTTTTCTACGCACATGTACGAAGTACGAAAGTACGCTTATCTGTTTTCTCGATTGTGGCATCTCACACCGCACTTGGATTGACCATGAGATTCTTCCTGCTCTTGAGGGACCGATCTTCCCGATCCGCTGTCCCGGGAAAATCAAACGGGAGCCACCCGGATTTCATAGGTCAAGTGCCGCCCAGACGGCTGTTCAATATTATCCATTGCATCCATTGTAACCATTGCAACGACCGCAACATCCAAGCGGACGGGAAACAGTCTGAGTGGACGTCGGGTTACGGTCACTGGTCCGCCAGCTTCCATTGGACCGGTGGGGAGGTCGGCTTCGGCGGGTTGAGGGTTCTGCCGTGCTGAATCCGGGCCACGGTGTGACCTTCCATGTCCTGAATGGATGCCGTCGGCCGCGGATGCAACGCTGGCGTTCCTAGGTGCAGAATTTGCTGACCTGCCCACCCGCACGGAAAGAGCCGCCTGGTATTTGAACAGGAGAGCTTGTTAGCGGCATCTTTGACATTCACTTCTGACCATTCGCCATTCGCTGACAGTCGTCGCGCTAACCGATGATTTTCGGCCCTCTGTGCCGCTGTGTGCAGTGTGCAGTGTGCAGTGTGCAGTGTGCAGTGTCCAACAAGGTGCTTAACTGGTGAGCTCGTCTGTGAAGTGTCTGACAGAGTTGCATCAACGGCTCGAATGATGAGTGGTTCTTCCCACTTCTTTGGCCAGCTCGATCCTCACTGATCTGTGTTGATTTAACACATTTTCCAGAATCCAAATCCTCAGAACTCGGCCAACAATACGAGAAAGGTTAGATGCCTAATTTCATTTCATGGTTTTCATCTTACCTCCGAACCTCCGTTCTCTCCGTGGACCGTGGGTGGTTCAAGCACGGGGCGTGTGGGAGCCGGTAGGAAGGTGGAGAGAGCAGATTTTGGCTGTTTCCCTCTGCGATTGGCTTCTTCAACGGCGACCGAGAACCGGACTGGAAAGTGCGTCGGGGTTGAGTGGAGACCGTGGAGTCGAGCTGTTGCCCCACCTGGGCCCAGCCAACTGGGACGCGGTTTCCCTGCCATCTCAATTTCGGCATCCCATCCATGGGCGCCACATGCGAGACTCCGATCAGGTCCTGCTCTTTTCTTCCGTCCCACTTGGCTGGGGATCCTTGGATGCTGGGGCATTTCGTTTGGATGCGCGTCAGACCCAGACTTTCTCTGACACCACCCCAGGCGGAAATGGGGGGGAACTGCTCCGGCTGCCTGCGACCCGCCATTTGCTTGCCTTGCTGTTCAATGCAACAGCTCATGTTGTTTCGGGCAAGCCGCGAACTGACAGGCATCTTTTCGGTTATCACCTCGGCATTTGATTCACAATCCACCTGAATTTGGAAGCTTCGGAAAAGAACATTTGGAACAAAATTGCCAAACCACCCGAGTTATGGTAACATGGCGAACAGACGACAGATGACCCACCCATCCCAATTCTCCCACAATTCATCCCAGCCCGTCCCAGTCCATTCTGGCGGTACCTCCTCGCCAAGGCATGCAACCAGACTGTTGGGACGCGAGCTTTTTTCTTCACCGCCATCTGTGACCAACCAGGGTGCATGCCGACCGTGGCGATGAACCGTGTCCGAGCTGGCGGGACGGTTTTGCTTCTTCCGGCAGTCTGTCGCTTGCTGCTCCCTCACCCTCTCACATGTGAGGGTGGGGGGGGGGGGGGCCATGACGCACCACGATGATTGCGTCTTTGGGTCCATAATGAGAGAGCGATGGGCATAGCACCGCTGCACCGCTGCACAGCAGACACAGCGCTATCACCCTCCCTGCTTCCCCGGAAGCCCGGGCATTGGCAACTTGGCAAAGCAATGCCCCCATCAGTTCGTAGTTACATACATACAGTTGCATACTACAGTACAGATTAGTTATTGCGCACGCAAGAACATACCCTGCTTGACCTACCAACGGAACGGGGAGGGTCCACCCGTGATCCCAGCACCCGCTTTCCCCTCCCCTTCCCGAGCTGCAAGGCCCGATGTTGTTTCGTCCTCGGACTGTCGAAGCCGCCGGAACGGAACCAAACCAGTGGGCCAAGCGTGGGAGCCGTTCGCCAATAACCAGGCCGCCCCTCCCCTCCCTCGCTTCCAATGACAATTCCTGACCTCTTTCCCGGGCCACACGTTACCAGACTCTCGGGACCCAGGGTCGTTCAGCTCAGCCCTTCGCCCTTTGACAACCAGTCATCGACCTCCCGTCTCGCTTCCCGCTCTCTGTTTGGGGCAAACTTGTACCACACACATACTCCACGTAACCAGCGAGCCAGTCACCCGCGACCCGACAGCAGCCGGGCCAAGAGAGGTCTCGACTCTTCGATTCGTCCTTCTTGCCGTCCCTACGGCCACACAGCCCCTTCACACCACCCCCTTCCAGCTTAGACCCACACCAGGCCGCCCATACAATGTCCACCACCATGGAGCCGGACGACACCTACCCCAACCCATCCCCCGAGACCATCTCGTCTCCGCGCCCCTCCTCCAGCTCAACCCACATCGCCGTAGACATGCACGGGACCCCGGAAGAGGAGCTCTACGCTACGGCCGAAGCCATGCGGGAGTCGATGCTAAGACTCACCGGGAGCCTCAGCAGAGCAACCGGCAAGGCCACCACCGGCACCGACGACTCCCTCCCCCCCTTTGCATCCACCTCCGGCGGCGAGCACCACGACCAACAACAACAAGACGACGACAACGACGACGACCTCAACCCCCTAGCCGGCCCAGCCGAAGCCGCCGCCGCCGACGACGACGAGGACCAGCAGCAGCAAGCCGACCTGCACAACCTGGACCTCACCACCGCCTTCGCCTTCGACCGCGACATGTCGCGCTACCCGGCGTCCATGACCAGCTCGGTGCGCGACCACGTCTACGAGGGCGGCCTGCGCTACCACGCCTACCGCGCCGGCCGCTACGCCTTTCCCAACGACGAGACCGAGCAGAACAGGGATGATATGAAGCATACCATGACGCTGATGTTGTGTCGGGGCGCGTACTTTTATGCGCCGGTGGAGAAGGTGTTGGAGGAAGGGGGGGGAGGTGTTGGATTTGGGTAGGTTCTTGTTTTTTTCGGGTTCCTTTTTTTCTTTCTTTTCTTTGGCGCTGAAGCTACTTCGGGGGAGGAGAGGAGGTAGTGGGTTTGGCAAGAGGAGGAATTAATGGGTGGAGGGATGGATGGATGGATGGATGGAGGGAGGGAGGGAGTGGTTGATTGGAAGTAATAGTTGTAGGATCCGGAAGGCGACGGCGAGAACGTCGATACCGGGATTGGCAAAAGTTTTAGATCAGGGTTCTGGGTCGTCGCATTCCATCCACAAGAGACAAAGGCTGACTTGACACAACAGGCACGGGAACCGGAATCTGGGCCATGGAGCGTAAGTGGCTTGAATTTTCCTTTCCCTGAGCATCCGAGCACAACAGCCAGACGTTACAGTGTTGCACCTCGCCTGTCTCACATGCTGTGTTTATCCACGGCTTGAGGCGTCTGTGTCTCGCTCTATTAGAGTGGAGAGACGGTGAAACTTGAGGAGTCGAGTCTGCGGAGGCAGTCTTGTCAAACATTGCGGGCGGGCAATCCAAATCAACAGGACCAAATCAACTAACACACACACCCAGTCGGCGACAAATACCCCAACTCCACCATAACCGGTATCGACCTCTCGCCCATCCAGCCCAATTACGTCCCTAAAAACGTTCACTTCTTCGTCGACGACTTCGAGGAAGAATGGCTCGACCCCGAAAACAAATACGACTTCATCCACATCCGCCACACCCTGCACTCGGTTCAAGACGTGGAGCTGCTCTTGCAGCGAGTATTAAAGTACGCCCCCCTCTTCCCCTTCCCATCCCATCCCAACACAACCACTCACCCACCCAAACCATACTAACCCACCATCCCCTTTGCACCAGACACCTCAAACCCGGCGGCTATTTCGAAGCGCAAGAACTAGCCACGGACCCGGTCGCCGACGACGACACGCTCACCCCCGAGACGCCCTACGCCCTGCGCGACTACATCCACTACCTAGCCGCCGGCATGGCAGTGATGGGGTCGCAGGCGCACGCGATCCTGACGCTGCCCGAGCGGATGCGGGCGGCGGGCTTCGCCGACGTGCGCAGGACGACGCACAAGTGCCCCGTCGGCGTGTGGCCGCGCGACAAGCGCATGCGGTTTTGTGGGTTGTTCTTGAGGACGACGCTGATGGATGGGTTGAGGGGGTTGAGTCGGCGGCCGTTGACGGCGCTGGGGTGGACGCCGGTGCAGATTGAGATCTTTTTGGTGGAGGTGAGGCGGGCGTTGATGGAGCAGGGCGTGCATTCGTATTTTACGCTGAATGTGGTCAGGGGGAGGAAGCCGGTCGATTGAAGGTGGTTAGGATATTCATGATGGGCGGGATGAGGTTGGGGGGGGGGGAATCATGCAGTCTGCGCGGGCCAAACCAAGCCTTCGAACGGCCTGGCGGCGACCGGCTGGTCTATCAGGGGTGGGGTGGTTGTTCGAGGGGGCAGGTTCCCACGGCAGTGTGGCTACCCCGTGCTAGCTGCGTAGCGTCGCCGGCGTGCTTGACTCGGCGGGCGGTTGTTATTTGGCATCGTGGATACCATCCCGGGGGACCGGTCCTCGCCAGGCGTTTGTTGGGATTCGGCAGCACGGGCTATAAAGCCAACCCCTACCTCGGTTAGGCACTACGAACACTCAACCCCCAGGTTGAGTAGACGAAGCCATCCCCACGCCGCGGCATCAACAACCAACCAACTCACGGCATGACGCGCACGACTCTCGATATTCTACAAGAACTTACAGGTTGCGCCGCAAGGGGTCATTTTTGCATAATATCTTGGATACATAAGACGGGCACAGGGAAACGGGAAGGGGCTTGGAGCATATGAAGCGGTGTTGGAAGCAAACTAGCGTCGGCGTCCTTGCATTTGTGTTGAACATATTGCATGGCAGGAAGGGGTCGGGCTGCAGGCTTGGCCAAGCTGGGCATGATAATACTGGAGTCTTTTGGGGGGAACGGTTGCAAGATACCAACATAGCATGGCAATGTCGGGGTGAGTTGTGGAACAAATACCATAATGTTGAACCATGCACCTGCTGCCTGTGATATTGATCAAACTGGTGTTGGCATCTGTGGAATAAGTAAAGAGCAGAAGCTGCCTCGTACATACATCAACGACGTCGAGAATAAACGCCGCTTCAGCATTGAACATGACATGCCCCCAACTAGCACTCTTCCACCCCCATTACGCGCCCTCAGTCTTCTTCTTCCAATGCACCTTGACTCCACCCCAGCTATGATCCGAATACTCGGCCTGCACCTTCTGGCACGTCTTCAAGCCCCAGTCCGACACGCCCATCATCAGACAGCTCTCAAACATAAACGCACAGCTCCCCTCACCAACCTTGGCCGGCTGCAGCACAGCGTTGCGAGCGCCCTCATAGCTCTCCGCATCCGGCCCATGGCCACTCATCACATTGTGCAGGCTCGCGCCCCCAGGCACAAACCCGCCGCTCCCGCCCTTCTTGGCATCATACCCGCCGCGGATCAGGCCCATGAACTCGCTCATGGTGTTGCGGTGGTACCAGGGGGGGCGGAAGGTGTCCTCACCGACCAGCCAACGCGGCGGGAAGATGACAAAGTCCGCCACGGAGGTGCCCGCGTGGTCCGACGGCGCCGACAGCACCGTGAAGATGCTCGGGTCCGGGTGGTCGAACGAGATGGACCCGATCGTGTTGAACCGGCCGAGGTCGTACTTGTACGGATAGTAATTCCCATGCCAGGCGACCACATCAAAGGGGGTATGGCGCTGCACGGTGCGATACAACGCGTTGTTGAACTTGGCCGTGACGACAAACTCATTTGGCCCGTCCGACGCCGTGGCCCCAAACTCCGCCTCCTCATCAAAACTCGCCACCGGCGCCTGAAAATCCCGCGCATTCGCCAACCCATTCGACCCGAATGGGCCCCAACTCGGGCAGGACAAACCGGCCCTGGAACAACTCCAACGCATACCCCCTCGCCGCGACGCCCCCCACCAACCGCACCTGATACCTCACCCCGCGGGGAATCTCACAAATCTCCATCGGCCTTACCAACAAACACCCCATCTCCGTGCGCACATCGAGCGCCCCCTCCTGCGGCACAATCAACACCTCCCCATCCGCCGAATAAAACACCTCCCTCTCCCCCATCGACCGTCCCGCCGCAAACACATACATCGCACACCCCTGCTTCATCGCCGGATCCCCCGCCCCGGCCACCAGGTGCAACCCCGCCACAAAATCCGCCTCCGGATCATGATCAAAGGGGTCCCACCGCAGCTGGTTGGGGATGTAGTGCATGTTGCGGAAGGGGGCGCCGCCGAGGCCGAGGGTCGAGTCGTTGGGGGCGGGGGAGGGGGTGAAGGGCGGGTGGGCGCACGCGGGCAGGATGCGGTAGAGCCAGGTCTGTTTGTTTTCGTGGCGCGGCGCGGTGAAGGCCGTGCCGGAGAGCTGCTCCGCGTAGAGCCCTAGGGGGGGCTGTTGGGGGGAGTTTTGGCCGACAGGAAGGGCGCCG